CGAAGGCGCCAACCTTTTGGCCACCTACATTGACTTCTACCACGAAATGTTCACTCTTTGGACCTTTGTTCATCATCGCCCAGGAGTCTCTAGGGTCTTTCTCTAATCATTCAGTGGACTCAGACATATCCATTAAACAAAGCATCGATTGGTCCGGATCTGTTTGCAGGGCGATCAGGGGGTCAATAGCCTTGGCCATCGTCTGAGATGGAGAAGGTAAGGTAAGCACTTCATGAGTAAGAGCGGCTAACACTCCTGCGGCTAACACTCCTGCTGGCCCGAGGTGTTTCCCTTAGGAAGTGCTCACAGAAGCACCACTGGAGTTGGAAGATCCAACCGTCACAATCAAGGACGCGACCTTCCCAGCCACCCGCTTACTCTTGCACTTGCTAATTGTGTGTCCATACTGGCCATAATTGAGACAAGCGTCTCGTGCAAGATGGTCTCGCCACACCTTGTACTCCAGACCAAGCTTCAGCCATATGGGTGGTCCTTGGTCACTTTGACCCTTGGGTCGGCATGCCTTCTGTTTCCCGGCCCCCATGGGCGCGGCTACTCCACCATCTGAAGTCTCCCCACTCCCATTTAACTCTCTGTCTCTTCTCCAAGGTTAGAGAAATCGTTAATCTTAGTCGCTTGGCCATCATGGTCAACTAACATGAGATTGTCATTCTTCCTCCAATCCCGAGGAAGCTTCTTCTTCCTTCCATCAACCAGTCCCTGTTGGGCACTCCCAAGCTTAGCCTCTATGTCTAGGGCTTTCTTGTTGAACGAGGCGAAGAATGTACATATATGGAGGCCTCATCGACCGACTTATTTTTTATGTCTGTGGGCAGACATCGCAAATAAGTTGTGAGGAGTGCCCGCGGTTCGTACCGCACACCAGAAACAACAATCAGTCGCTCTACAGCATCTGTCACTTCATGAATTGTCCGGTATCTCTTCAATCCCAGACTGGCTAACGAGTTGGTGGCCTTTTGAGCCCCTTGAGGGTCATGCCACGTGTTGTAGGCCATCCATACGAACTCCTCCAATGTCTACGCTTGTGCCTAACCATCAAAGTTTTGTCCATATCCCTGCTGTTGTACTACTATGTTCAACCATCTTGCTGCAGATCCCTCTAGGAAGGATGCAACGACAATAACCTCTTCCTTGGTCCTTGTGAGCTTGTGCCTCACATACGTACGCACAGTCCTCACCCAGTATCCAAGTCCTTTTCCTTCTTCTTGTCGCCAGAGAAGGGTTTAGGACTCGACAAGGGTATCTTGAGTGTCCATTGTATGGGTTGTACAACACCCTGTGCCTGCTGCATTTGTTGGGAAACCGGTGGCACAGGCTGCTGTGGCAACACTTGTTGCTGCAGCGGTACCTGCTGCTGCGGCGGACCCTGTTGCAAAGGCTGCTGTACGTGTGGCTGCCCTGTAGCAGCAGCCACTGATTGGGGAAACAAAGAAGGTTGTACAGGAATCTGCCCACTACTACCTGCTACTAATCCGCCTGATGGGGGCATGCCAAACTGAGGGGCAAAGGGTTGCCCTGTTGGCAGGAGCGTCATTACAGGAGCTGCAACTGTAGGGGGAACTACAGCAAACTGTGGTTGCCTCACCGGAGGTCGAGGCTCCCGCAATGCGGTCAGAATCTGGTTCTGACCAGCTATCAGTGCAGCCAACATCTCCTATTGTACGGCTTGCACTTCGGCTACGCTCGACAAGGAGTTCCGAAGGGACAAAACCACAGGATCTAGAGTCAACTCATCTATAGCTTCAAACTTGCCTAGCTCCTTTGCCCTTGACCCTAGCCTAACTTTTCTAATTCTAGCTTTTTCTTTTCTCTCCTCTACATTATGCAACTGGCGCTGTAGCTTGTTGAGGAGAGCCGCCGAGCGTCCACTTCTTGTATCTCATAATCCTCTGCTGACAGTTGTTGCTGTTGGCTGACCTGCAAGCGAGCAGACTGACTAGTGGAAGATCCTGACGTACCCGAACTGGTACCTGGATGATGAGGTCTTTGACATAGCAGAGATGGTAGCCATGGCTGCCTCTGCTGCGGCTCTAGCTTCTGCTGTTGTGGCTGCTGTTAGTGCCCTCTCAGCATCGGCTGCTGCTGCTCTGGCCCTCTGCAGTATGCCCCTCTCCCTAGCTCCTCTCCGCAGTCTCCTTTCCTCTCCTGGCTGTAACACCAAAAAAGTGACCGGCCGACTGAGTGAAAGTCTACGGGTAAGTCTCTTTTCTCCCTGGTCTAGTTCTTCAACCTCATAGTCTTCTCCGCTCTTGAGCTATGCGTGGCGTGCAATCTGCACTAGTGTCCTCGCTGGGACCTACAGCAGCATGGCATCCAACCGATTAAAATAAAATAACATAAATGTTTGTCCCAGCTTTGTCAGAAAGTAGCCAAGCGGTAACAGCAGATAATCTCAGATTCCTACGAACAATTTTATATCTATTCTTGACTAGATTGCAATGCAGCCAAGAATATTAACTACTGTTTCTGTTAGTTGTTAGCTAAGTCCATCACAACTAACTAATCAAAAATAAAAATAAAATCATTTGTTGGTGTGCATCCAGAATGAAATTTTACAATAAATAACAACTGAACTGTTTACTGGAATCTTCCCTCCCCCTGTATCCCTCTTGAGTAGTCACTTTGTGTCAACGTCTTGAAGCTCTGTTTCAGCGGCGTGTCTGAAGGTGTGCAATCGGCCCACCCCTGTGCCCCAAGTCATTGAAGAACTGGCCAGCCCCGAATGCACTATTTTTATATTCGCATACAGCACGAGTCGTGTATTCCCTCCGGAGTCTCTTTATAGACGGTCCGGTACCCGTCTCTTTCTCATAGGGCTGGCATGCCCGACATGACCTCTACAGCGCAGCAAGCGGACCAAAGGACAAGCGGCAAAGCATGAATGTACTAGTCCCAGCGGGTTGGCATGGTGACCGTGACCCGAGTTCGTCCAGGGCCCTTCCGAGGCAACGCCCGTCTCCCACCAGCTTGCTCCCCAGGAAGAATGTCGACTCTCAAGGTTGAGCAGTCGCGATACCTCACAATGAGAGGACTCTCAAGGCAGAACTCACTTCCTCGCGGTAAGAAGTAACGAAGAGGGTAGATAAGGTAAGGAGCAACGTACCTTATAATGCTGCCCCCAACCACAGATTTCTCACCAGTAACCTGACGTGCATTGATGATGACCGGTCAATGCCTCGGCACAACCCACAATACAATGCAGTTCCACCTCGCGGCTTAAATTGTCACAACAGTGAGCTCTCATCATCCAGCGTGCACCACTATGTCACCGCATAGCCTTCCTAGCGCGTCCACACGACCCTGGACCGCCAGCAGACCAACGCACAAGTGTTATCACTGCCCCACCATATCCAGCGAAGCACCGAACAGCTATTGCGAAGGAGCCAGTGGAGCTGCTTGAACCATCTCCGATACCAAATTGCAAGGAAAATGAGAGAGAGTGAAATGACAGGAATCCAGAATGCAAAAATCACATTGAAAGCCAGAAAGTCCAACGTTGTCCAGAAAGCAGAAATGCACTGATATTCCACCAACGGAGAACCAAAGCACCGAATCCGTATTTCAGTGAGAGCATACTCTCGCCACCACCAACATATGTATCCAGAGCCCTAACTCCTATTTGGCGCTCAGCGCCCAGACTACGACCACACAGCTACTACCAGCCTACGCATTGGCAATGCAACCTGTTGACGTCAGCAGCAACAACCGAAGTACATAAAGATGCCGTCCCTGCAGACCATCGCCAAGACCAGGTACGTGCACTTACATCATCATCCTCATCTCTCTCTTGCTCTCTCACCCTGGACTTCTACACCCACTTCTTCACCCTCGTACACGAAGACCACCACCACCTCTTCACCCTCGTACACGAAGACCACCACCACCTTCGCTGGCCATCCAAGCCGAGCCCGGCTATGGATGGGCTGGCTATGGCGCTGCCCTCAGCAGTGCCCTGCTACCTCTCGACGCCTGCACATGCCCGGCATCCGCTAGCGCACAGCAAGCAGCCACCGAGCACACGCTCCAGCAGCACTGCCGCTTGCACAAGCCGGTCCCCGAATGTTGTGACCGGAGCCCGCCCCTTTCCTATGTCGACAGTGGCGGGCGTATTGCCACCCGTTTGCCTCGTCAGGCCGAGTCTCCAGTAGCTTCAGCCTCGGCCAAAGTGTCTGCGCCCCATGCCTGTTCAGACAGTGGCCTGGGACCGAATTGGTTAGGCATGCCCAACCACCCGGGCACAAACGTGCGGTGCTCCCTGTTTCGACCACGTTGCTGGAAGAGCCTGGAAGGCTCATGCATATTTCCGGTTCTCACGAGCAAAGCGGATGTAACCTACTGGCGTGTGGCAACTGTCTGGCGCCCAACATTGCAAAAAATTGACGAGTTCAGGGCACATTGAGATTCAGGGGGGGCGCCTTCACTTAAGGTGGGCATGCTCCTGCTGCAGGGCCTTATGCGGAGGGGTAAACCCTTTTTTTTTTTAATTCCAAAAAATTTGGACCATTTCTCGATTGATGCATGTCATCCTTGGGCAGGGGCCATGCTAATCTTCATTCTCTGTATCGTTCCAATTTTAACAGATGTCCCGAAGGTCGGCGAAGGACGCCGAGGGGTGAACCCTCGCAGCTGCATTTCTGAGACTGTAATGTGTGTGTGAGGACAATAGCCATGGTGTTGACATTCGGAGCTTCCCGTGCCTGGGTTCATTCCAGAACACATAAACCCATATCAAGAGGCAACATTGCGGCCGTACTGGGAAGACAACTGCGCTTCAACGTGCACACCCCTCATGAATGTGTGGTGCACATGCAGCGTTTTGGTTCAGTCTTCCAGTTTTGCATTGTTCTCATAATGCACTGACATATGCACACGCCTGGTGCTTCATAAAGTCAAACACATGTGGTAATGAGTAGCTGCTTGAATTAAAAAAAAAGACTGCAAGACTAACTGATGGGTCTTATTGTGGATTGCATGCGCAGGTGGAGGCCGGTCACCCGCTCCTCGATGGTATGATTGGGTTTTTAGAGCGACTGATTTTCACACCGGTTCTGTTATCAGGGTTCCTGGATGTTCAAGCACCGCCAAGAAGGTTCGAGCCAGAGGTTTGCGCCGCACTGCTTACGGTAAACAATGTCCAGGAAGTTACGGTGATGGATCTGCAAAAGGGGACGGTTGCATCCCCGAGTCAACACTCTCTGCATCTTCAGCAACAGCCGTCGAGGAGTGAGAAGCAACCACCTTCTATGGAGTTCTTTGCTCCTGAGCTCCCTTTTAAGGATGGCAAGGCAACGTTGGAGCAGCTAGAAGCTGCTGTTGAGATCAGGGAGTACCGAGAGCCCTTGGTCCCACTCTTGCCCGACATGAGGTTGTTGCTGGGTGCGAAACCGAGCAACGTCCCGGATGCCCAGATTCGGCGGAACGTAGCTTTTGCAGCACTTCTCTCAGGTCTGTCAAGCAACGAGCTGGCAGCTTGCTACGGCAGCCATGGTCGAAGGCAGCAGGTTGTTCCTGAGCCCTTTACAGTTAAGTACAGGGGCAAGTGCATTACCACACTGACCGACTTCATCACAGAGCTCACGACAAGTGGCCATGAGATCAGCGCTATGAGCATTGTACGATCGATATACACTCTGGAACTCCACCACCTCGACCAGAAGACAGGGAAACTTCTAGATGTTCCGGTTCAACCCATGATATATACTGGTGTGCCCGGCGCATTTGTGCCGCCTTTCCATGGGGAGTGGGTGTTCACAGTGCAAGGGAGACACTTCAATGCCAGAGTCAAGTGGCTCATGCAGGTGGGAACCCATGGCCCCAGCGGAGCAGTCTTCCTCCCCTTCGACACCCATGTCTATCCTGCCTATGCTGGAGGTAAGGAGAGGCCAGTGGTGTCCCGGTCAGTGTCCACGTTAAGAACGACGAGTAATGTATCTGTATCTGGATCTGGATCTGGATCTCTTCCGAGTCACCACAAAGGATCATCCGGATCTGAATCGGATATCCCGGACATCAATCTGGCGGGTAGGCTCCTCTTGAATGCCGGACTTATCAGTCAGATTTTCGCCTTGTATGCTGAGAGGACCTGTCTTCCACTGGGTGGCTATGGCAACTACGGCATCTGCAATGACAGCACAGAACTTCTGTCGTTGATGACTGGTGTTGGATCGACCAAGCTGTACCCTCTTATGAACAGAAGGTATATCATGCGTGGGGTTGCCGCCTTTGCGGAGGACCTTGCAGCTGCAGGCGTGGGTACCAAGTACAGGAAGAAGAAAGGAACATCGACGATGCTAGGGAGACCACCTGCGGTCCAGAAAGCCGGTCTTTCCCTTGAGACCTGCCGGCAGCTGCTCTGCTTTGCTGCTGCCGCCAGGCTCATCAACAGTGATGTCGATGGGGCAGCTGCTAGCAACTTGAATGGGGAGCTTCCGCATCCATCCAACGTGGCCACGAGGGTACTTTCTTCCTGGCCATGGGAGGCAGGGAAGGAGCCTTTTGTCCATGCATCAGCTGCCAAGGTCGCTCTGCAGAACGCTGCTAACCCAGCTCTCCTGCTGAAGGCACAGACGAGGCTCATCAGCGTCAAGAGGCCTGCAAGAAGAAGCCAGAGAAGGAGAAGAATTCTCGGCCCTCTCTGGAGATCTCTGCGCCCGAAATGAGCATCCTCGGCGTGTTTTCTTCTGCGGATGACAATACCGCGCATTATTATTTGTGTACGTGTGCCTGCACTTCCGTGCCTGTGTGTTGGTACGCATGCCATGTTCTTTCTCAAATCGCCAGAATTATTCGTATCTGTGTTTGCGTGTGCATGTGTATGTGTGTGTTCAGGCATGTGCATTCATACTTGCAGATGCTTTTGACTGTCCCATGCACACTCTTTGGCCCGAAATCGGGATTAGTCAAATAAATGTTGTACCCGATGTACAGTATAGTTTACTTCTGTTTCCGTTTACGCTCCTGCGGCTCCTGGTATCCTCTCACCTCCTGTCTGGCCGCTCATCCACAGTGAGTGATTGACCCCCAGCTCGGACTCCCAGAGTCACCGCCCGGCACTGAATGAAGATATCTCCTGACCTCTGGAAGGGGTTTCAGATAGTTGAGTCATACTTCGCAGCATGTAGAGTCTCGTCAAACTGCAATTTGTTGTCATTACATCGAGGGTTAGCAGCACTATTTAATTAAAGATCTGATACAGTACTCTGAGCAGCAGCAGCAGCAGTAGTCATAGCGCTAGTGGCGGGCTGGAATGATATGAACAGTAGTACACGTTCTGTACTTCAATTGTTTATCGTTAGAAGTCGAAGTTTGTGAGGATCTCCGAATCTACGGGGCAACACACATTTTCTTGAAAATTATGCAACTGATTATCCTACTGTCTAATACCCAGTGTTGCGGGCAGGATGGACCTTCCCCATTACTTGTTAGACAGAGCTCTTCTCTCCTGAAGGAGAGGAGAGGGAGAAAGCACTGAGTGCGTGTGTGCTCCTGTGATACTCACAGAAGGGGCCTGGAGAGAGAGAGAGAGAGAGAGAGAGAGAGAGAGAGAGAGAGAGAGAGAGAGAGAGAGAGAGAGAGAGAGAGAGAGAGAGAGAGAGACGTTTCTGTTCTTTTGAGGACCTTAGAGTCTACGTTTCTGTTCTTTTGAGGACCTCAGAGTCTATGAGGGCAAGCAACACATTTGCTAATCCTCCTGTCTGCACCTTCCCCATTACTTATCATACAGCGCTCTTCCCTCAGAAAGGAGAGGAGATGCAGAAGGCAGTCAGTGTCGTCTGCCCTGAAGGGGCTAGGGGAGAGAGAGAGAGAGAGAGAGAGAGAGAGAGAGAGAGAGAGAGAGAGAGAGAGAGAGAGAGAGAGAGAGAAATTATTCCAGAAACACAGCTTAGATCTTGAACTGATAAATTTCCCATTGTTAACTAACGGGAAATGCTGGTGGGAATTCTTTACCATTGGAGCAGAAATCATGCCACAACTTTGGTGAGGTGCAAAAACTGTTGGCTGGAATTGGGTACCCTTAAAAAAGAGTAAACCGCTACGCAGGGCCAAAGGCGGAGAACGGGCATCCGATGGGAATGGCGTATGGACCTTGTGGAGACAGGATAACTGGGGTAGACACTCGTTGATCATGACGATCGCCACCATTGTAGTAGCCTAGTAGGCATAAACTGAACAATGGGAAACTCAGGTTATTCTTTGGGATTCCGTGAAACCTCTGAAACCTCAAAAGTGGAAGCTGTTGGAAGCTGTTGGAAGCTGTGTCAGACTGTCCGGTCAGAGGCTGGACATTTGACATTAAGTTCATTAACCACTACCATCATTGATCTATAGAGTCGGTATGGACCAAAATTTGCAGCGATCCTGCTTACGGATGCCATCCGCCACTTCCACACCACAGCAGGTGCTGAGGGATTGTGTCAACCGGTGCCCTGAAGGGATGGATAGAATACCCGTGAAGAAAATCAGACCAAACGATCACTCTACAATGTCTACATCATGAGTAAAATTTGTTTGGCTAAATGCAGATATACACTGGCCGCAGCGGGCCAAATACTAAAATAAACAGTAAATTTGAGCGAAATGAACTTAGAAGAATGCACCAGCCGCATGAAGGAATGGCCAGCGAAACAGACTAGGTGTTGCCACTGCAGCAACCCAGAGAAGTGGTCATGGGGCGCCAACCAGATCAAAGTAGCATAAAGGTGAGGGGGGGGGGGTGAGGGGCCAAAAAGAAGGCAGGAGGCTCCCACAGGCTGTCAAAGCGGCTATAAGCCGTCTGTGATCTTCATATTCTCAACTGATGCTTGAACCCAGAACAATGATCTGCTGAAGCAGCCCATTTGCAGGGGGGCACCCACCAGGATGTTAAGAAACCCGTTTTTGTCAGATATTAGTCAGGATGTACCAATAGATGGAGCCTCCCTGGGATTGCTAGCGGTGTCTGCTCTTACCAGCACCTCTAGCACCACCCCGGGTGTTAAAAAAAAAAAAAAGGGCAGGTGACACCAGGGCACCTTCAACAGCTGTCTTCTTTCTTCGCCCGTTTTCATTTTGTGTTCTGTTCTCCTCTTTTTTTATATTTTATGTATATATGTCCTCTTCTCTCTCTCTGCCTACGGTTTTACCGGGCAGTTCTGTTTGTGACGATATATATATATATATATATATATTTCTATTTGACGATATATATATATGTGTGGCCCCGAACGCTGAGGGACTGGAACATGATCTGCTTGGACTGCATTTAATCCCGCATGGCGTAGACCCCACGAGGGATTTGCAAATGGCTGACCAGGATCATATGGATGAACCGCATACTTGTGCACCACCCTGCGCAGACCCCACGGGTGATCTACAAATGACTGACCAACAAAATCAGCCTGAGATC